TGGACCCTAGTCTAGGTCCATAAGTGTAGATCCTCCCTCAGTGAAAATTGAGGACACAATGAATCCAACTTAACTAGTCCCTATTAAATAACTGCTGAATCCATTCAAAACTGCACCAAGTCACTAGGTCTATCTAAAGCTAGCGTATACCCTATTAAATCAGAACTCCATCTCATCATCTTCAGACTACCTGAACATCAGCTCCAAACGAATTGAACCATGCAACTTAGGACCTCCCATGTACAAACCTCCTTTCACCTGAACCATCCGCAACTTCCAACCAAGTCGACAGCAAACAAAGCGTAAGACGGTTCCCTTAAAGCTGAAATATCGCAGTCGCGGTTAATAGTTCGACATTTTTTCCCGTACATCCGTTACAAGCTCTCAGTGTCCTGGATATAGCGTCGATGATTTACCGTGCACACGCGGCCGCGCTGAAAACATCTAGTTAAACGTTATTTCCTCTCCAGGTCCCTGTCCGCCGGGCGGAGACGCGAGGACGATGGTCCCTGCAGCTTGCGCGACCTGCGGATATCAGCTCCACGCGCTTTATCGGCCGCAGAGGAGGCGGCGGCGCGCGGGGGGCGTCTTAATAATTTACAACGGCAAGACACACGCCCCCGTTATTGGCCCATAAAGTATCCTTGCTATGGTCCCGCTAGTTTACCCAAGGCTCCTTGCTTTATAACGTCGTACCCGGTCCTCCGTCGCGCGATGGATTGATGCTGGATACTCCAGGCAAGCCGGGTATCCTCGAAAAATTCGATTTTCCATTCGATGTTTCAATTTTTCGAATTTATTCCCTTATTTCGACTGATGCCTCGAGATCAAGAAAGGTTTACGATGGCTTAGAGTGCTTTGGTAAAATGATCAATTGAACTTTTGACCATTTGTCCTTAATCTGATCGGTATCTCTAAGGGATCCTGGCAAAGATAGAGGATCTTAAAGTAATAGATTCGATGGTTACCCTGGTAATGAATGAAATGGGAATCATTGATTCAGGGAAGCTTGATTCCAGGGAAGTCGCCATGTAAATGAAGATGATTTAAAATGTAAAATACGTTTACATTAAAGACATTCTACTTAGGAACCTTAGGATCCATGTTGCTACCCTAGGGAGCATTGGTAGTCATGACGCCATGAGACTAATTGAAGTCCTTGAATTTTTAGCTTGAAATATTCTCGATTGTCTTTGATAGAAGACTGTTCTAAATGATGAAGTTTAAAGGCAAATTCTTTAATTTGTGTTTTCTTCTTTTATCTTGATTTAACGCTTGTTCATTAGAGTCCACGATTTTGCTGCCTACTCGTTCCATTTATCACGATCATAAAGAATCTTTTTCACGGGCAACAGAAGGCAGTGTCAGTGGAAACGCGTTGCGGAGACAGTGTCAGCGTACCCGTACGTGGTGAACATGTTGTTCCGTGTCCCGTGCTCGTTACCGGGAACGCGCGCGCGTGTACGTGGTATTTATCTGGCGGAAACCGTGGCCATAACTTCGTTTCCATGGGAATTGTTCGGCAACAGGTGGGGAAAATTTCCACACACAGGCCACCCGGCCAGCCCCTCGTTTGTCGTTTCATCAACTTTAATCATAATTTTAGTAACTTCAACGCGCACACCGCCGGAACAATTTCTATGGACACTGTTCACTGCGGAATTCGCATTTTTCATTCCGGTGGGCCAAGGAAGTGTATCTTTCACGGGAACAAGATGGAGATTCGAAAACTTTCACTGCTATTATTTTTTTCGGGGAACTTTGATATTAAAGAAGGAAAGATTAATAGGGATTTTGGGAGTCTCGGATTCTAGCTGAATAGTTTAATTTTCGGAACCAAAAATATGGATTCAGTTTAATTAAAACTTGTGTTTGAACTAGATTATCTAATTACCAAATTTTTATTTATTGTAGATAACTCGATTTCAATTGTCTGTAGAAAACATTGATACTTTGTTGTCTAAATGTAAGACAAACAATTTTGCAAAATTGAATTCACAGATTTATACACTAATATTCGAAACAAAAGCTACCCCTGACTGTTGTAGCAACTGAAAAATTTGTATTCACTGTAGATACCTCTGTTTTTAATTATCTGTGCAAAAAACTGCAAATTCGAAATCCAGACATTAATAAAGAAAATTAGTAAAACTGAATCTACACTATCCACAGTAAGATTTGAAACAAAAGCCACCCCTAGCACGTCTAACAGCTCAGAAGTACATATTACTGAATTTCTATTTTCACTTCTACAGCAAATTCCCATCACAAATTGAAATAATAATACAAAAAATTAACAAAATCGAGTCATCAGCATTTCCACCCTAGTATCGCTAACAAAAACCAACCCCTAACGGTTGCAGGAATCGATCGGATCGCAGATTAAAACGAAAAATTGCAAGAACGAGTTGAGCTGCAGCTTCCCGCTGCGCCGGGCAAATGAAGTCGAGTATTTCATGAAGAAATAAAGACACTCAGCCCGCGTACGCAGCCCGAGAAACGCAATTTCATTTTGTAAATGCGTAATGCCGGGCAGCCGGCCACTTCCTCTTTGTTCAGCGGACGGAAAGGGGCTGCGAAACGAGAACGGGCCGCTCGTAACCGATTCTCAGGGGTGCGATCAGTTATTTAGAATTTCGTGAGCACCCTCGACGCGACGCCATCGATTTACCAATCGCGGTCCCCTCTCTCACAACCGGGATAAGTACTTTTCACCCGTGACGAACACACGACTGTCTAATTTCGAGGATTTCGGAATTACTCCCGGGATAAATACAAAAAGCGCCGCCGCGCACGAAGGAACTTTTAATGAAGAGCTCCGTTCCCTTTTACAGTAGACTTCTTGCAGTTATGTGAAATAATTAACGCGGAAAATATAAAATTCTGTTTCGTATCAGTCACGGTGGTACGCTTTATTATAAAACTGCAGGTTTTTGTGAGTACTAGAGTCGGGAGTATATATTTTGCTCGTGATATTTGCCCCTTGCCATATGATTCATTTCTTAAATATGATCGATAGAATTTCCTTATCGTTAATACTTTATTAGGAAAAGAATTGATTGATAATAGAGGAGTAATATTTAATTTATATTTTAACAAAATAAATTTGTCAAATTCAGTTGAAAATTTTGTCGCGAGCCTGAAACATTATAAGTCCGAAAATGAATAATAATTTAGAAGAATAAACAATGGAAATAAACGATTTAGAAAAATTGACAATTAAAATAAACAGTTTAGAAAAATTGACAAATAAGATCAATAACAATTAAGACAAATGAAATGTCAGTAGAACAACGTCACGAAACAAAATCAATGATATCCAAAAACAAATTCCTTCAAAGAATCCCAACGAAAAGCTCCGTCCACACTGTCCCAAAGAAAGAATACCGAAAATACAAAAACGATTCATCAAGCAGCGTCAACGGAGGCTTGTCAACGCTTGTCAGTCTCCAAAAATACCGTAACACCGTGAAATGACCGCGCGTTTAGCGTGTAGCAACGTACGTAACACGGTTTTCGTCGCTTCTTCGGCGATTCCTTGCGCCCGGAGTTTTCGCGAGACGTCGGACGTCCGCCGTTCACTAATTAAATGTTTCCAAACGCGGCCCCGGGTAAAGGCGTAATAAAAGAGCGACGTAATAGAGCGTAATTAAAAACGACATTACCACGGGCATTATTAACGTAACGCGAGAAAGGGAAAGGAAGGCGCGGGAACGCGCTAATTAACGACAATTAATTAACCGAGTGCGGTTCGGATCGCGGAAAAAAAGGAGGAACGGGAGCCTTTTAGGGGTCGGCTGCACGGTTTCCCCGGTCGTTACAGCTGCAACTTTCCTGGATCGATTGATACCTCTTTCCCCCTGTTAACTACGCTTTTCCCGCCGATTAATCCGCCATTGCCGCGCGCGACCCCTCGCGGAAACTTCGAAATCCGTAACACTAAAACTACTGAGCAGTTGAATTGATTTTTTGCAATTTAGGTGTAGAAACTTCAAGAGTGCATTTACTAATACTTTTATTCATTTACAATTCAGTTTGCGTATTGCTGAATCTATGTCTTTAATAAATTCTCAGAGAAGCTTCTGTTGTCTTTCTAATCATTACAAAGAGAAGAAACCGGAAATGGTAGTTTTAGTGTTATATTGATTTTTTGAAATTTAAGTATAGAAACTTCAAGAGTGCATCTACTGATACTTTCATTGATTTACAATTCAGTTTGCGTATTGCTGAATCAATGTCTTTAATACATTCTCAGAGAAACATTTGTTGTTTGTTTAATAATTGCAAAATGAAGAAACCATGTCAAATTAGTCCGTCTGGTAGTTTTAGTGTTATACTGATTTTTTGAAATTTCTCTATAGAAACTTCAAGATTGCATTTACTAAGACTTTAATTGATTTGCAATTCAATTTGCGTATTACTACAGAAATATCTTTAATAAATTCTTACAGAAGCTTCTGTTGTCTTTTTAATCAATTTTTAATGGATTTTTAATTCAGTTTACGTATTGGTAAATCAATTTCTTTAATAATTTCTCACGAGGGAATCTTTGCAACCAGCGCACGTCGATTTCAATGAAACTTATGAGACATACATATGTCTCACATAAGGAATGAAAATTTTAGCAAGTTTAGAAATATATTTTTAAAAACTTACTGCTTCATCAACATCAAATCAGTTAGGATCTATAATAAGAATTTTAAGAATTGGTTTAGTTAATTTAGGGTTTTCTCTTTGTAAAATCACGCTGAAAATCTTCGTCACGAGTCTGACACGTTTTTATAAGGCAAGGGGTTAATTATGTTATGTGAACAGAAAGATCACTGACTGACACGTTATCTGCGATTTTGTCTGCAGTTCCGAGCGAACTGTCTTGGCAACACAGGGACAGGAAGGCACCGAGACTTAGACTACCGGCTTCGATGTCAATGCTCGAATAGACCCATCGTCGATCCCCCAACGGGGATGGGATTCCAGTGGAACTTTCGACCTTAACTCACCGACTCGCCGCGAAAAGTCTTTCGGTCCCTCAGGAAACGGGGAAGAAACTCACCTGAAACAAAAGAGAGCGTAGGAGTCAACATCGATCGGCGAATACATTGGAAAGTGAATTTCACGATAGCTTGCACCACTGCCCTGCGACAAGCGACACCTTTTTAACGTTGTCACTCGAATTTGGATGATACAATTGTCTTTGAAGACTTGAAATTGATTTAAAATTAAATGCTTGGGTTTAATTGTATTTTTAACGCTGCCACTCGAATGTAAATAATACAATTGTATTTGAAGACTTAACATTTAATGAAAATTAAATGATTCAATATAATCAAATTGTTAACGTTGTCACTCGAATTTGAATGATACAATTGTCTTTGAAGACATAACATTTATTTAAAATTAAATGGTCGAGTTTAATCGAATATTGTTGAATTATGAAAGGCTGACGAGATAATTGCTATTTAAAATTTTGATTTTGTAATTTGTTTTACTAAAACGAATAAAATGTAATTTAATACAAATTTGATAAATGTTGATACAATAATTTGTATATAAATAGAAATTGTTTAAAATCATATTTATTACGGAAAACGAAAAGTCACGTAGATTGACATATTAAGAAGTATAAAGTACAATTAAAGAAAATTAATTTTATCTTTGAACCTTATTTCAATCTCAATTAGAATCTCCATATTTTTCATTCAAAATTAATTCTTACGTGTTCTATTCACGTCGGTTTCAACGCCACCCATTATTCACGTATTTTATGTCAGTCAAAACAAGATTCTTCCAATTATCCGAGCAATTATCGCGACGGGTCATCATCGTCAGTAAAATACTCGACGATTGAACAGCGAAAGAGGAATACTTATTTAGGAATACTTATTCACCGCAGTATTCTCGTTTAGTCACGGTAATTAATTATCTTCCCCGCCGGTTATGCAAGGGAATTAATCAACCGTTGATTCGGAACGATTTAAAACAAGCTTGCCCGTCGCTAAATGAATTATCACGTCGAATAATAATTAATTCCAATCGAAATTTCGGTATTACGAAGTTGAACATTGTTGCGCCCGCGTAGAATCACTATAATCTGGATTAATGATAATTAATCCGATACCAGGCGCGAAATGAGAGCCAAATAAAATGTATTAACTTACGAGTCTTCGTTGGTTTCAATATAATAATGGTACAATTATTGCGGTATTAATTATCTTCATCTGTTACGTCATACGGCGGCGCGTGTGGCCATTAATTAATTTAGTTAGCATTAATGATCCGGATCGCGAGAGCCTACCCTGTTTACAAATTAATTTTGTTATTATAACAACGAGGCTGATCATTCGTTCGTTTCGAAAGGCTGCGAACGAACTGCGCCCGTGCTCCGTAATACGATGCGTGTTTTTGAAATCATACCGAATCCATATAAAATATACACCGAAATTGTACAATAATATATTGTACTGCTTGAATAACTGAAAAGTTCTCCGGTTTCTTGTATTAATTCAATAAAATGAAGAGAACAAGATGTCGAGGAAAATTATTTAACGAATAAATAAAGATATTAAGGTAAAACGTAATGATGGAGAGAACTTATGTTTGAATGATTTTTATATTAACAACTTCTTCATTATTTGGTCTGAATGATAGTTAATAACCACTTAATGGAGAAACGTGTAGTTAGAATTAAATTTCATTGCCAGAAATTCCTACAAACCCGGTATGTTCATTCATAAGTGTACCCTAAATCTACTTCATTTATCTTTGTTACATATATACATGTAATTCATAAAAATACCAAAAATATAGATCACAGAATATAACAAATTATCATCGTAAAAATACCCGGAAACTAACACTTTCACCTCCAATCATCCCCTAAACCTAATTCATCTTTACCATAAACACAAATAAATGATAATTTATATAAATTCAACGAAAAGTTTATAATTAACTTTAGACTCTAGAGGCGCCGCTCAGTCGCCAGTGCATTTAACACTGCAAAATTGTAAAGTTCGATGTTTAACATTACACTTCGCATAATGCATCAATGCGAAATAGAAAGCAGTTCCCTTCCTCAATACATACACAATTTCTCATTAAATCAATTTCAGAAAGTGTCACCTGCATTCGAAGATATCGAATATTTCCAGTGAAAACCTCTAGACTGCAAAGGGTTAATTTCGCCTGCAAAAAGTTCATGTGTATTTCTTTTCATTTCCGCATTTACTCTGAGAATTCTTAAAAGATACACACCCGATGTAACTATTAATAACAAAATAACTGCGTCAACTACAGTTAGGAAAGAACTCGTAGGGCAAGAGGTTAATTGGTCGCAAGAAGTCAGTTAAAACAGTTTAAACAGTTAAGCACGGCCAGACCCGTGTATGCAAAACTCGAGCAGACGTCCTCATCCCCTATCCGGCATCTCTCTCTCCCTTCCCTCCGACCTCGCTCTTGCGCAGCGTATAAACTTGGATCGTTGAAGTTGCAGCTTTGCCGGCGACAAGTTGGATCGGCGAAGTTGCCCCCGTAGGAAACGCGTTGTCGCCCTCTCTTCGAGCCATCGCCGACTTTCCTCGGAGGCAGGGAAGCCAGCAGCCTAGGCAGGCGCACGTTTTGAATCTGTCCCCCGTAGCCATGGCCCGACGTCGGGAAACGAGGCGAATTGTCCTGGAATTGCGCGCGGAAGACGGCCGGGACAAAGGGAACGCTTCCGGCGAGCCGGGCCCGGCGAAAGTGGGCTCGAAAACCGCCCGCCGCGTTTTTGTTTGCTCCCTAGCCGCCTTTTCCCGACGATCGAACCGACGATTCTCCTTCGCGACCATTACGGTAATCGACAGACGCCGGCTCCCGCTTTTCCCCGGGGCACGCGGCCGTTTGCGAGACTCGCCGGTCTCTTCGAGCACCGCCGGGAGGACAATCGAGCTTGCGCGACGCGATAAAACTCGCTAATTGAAATAATAGAGCGGAGTCGATCGGATCCGACTGGGTAGCTTTGAGAACGATGCTGTTTGTTGGGGATTCTTGAGTGGGGATGGTGAACTGTGAGTATTGGTGCTTTGTTCTTAGCGATGTCGAGTTTGCGGGGTTATGATAATGTGAAATTGGAGGCGCGGAAGCATAAGGGTGATGGTATGATGACGAATTAACCCTTAGGTGATCGATTGATCTTACGAGGGAACCTTTTCAATTAGTACACGCTGATTTTTGTGACACTTATGTGAGGTAATACTTTGCACGTATTTTTTCTTAGAAACCACCCCTCGAAGTTGATGGTTGAAAATATATTTTGTTCAATATCTGTGAAGCTAGGGGGTAGAAAAGAAGTCTCAATTGTTCATTTTTCGAACAAAAGAAAATTTCTTTTCTACTCCTCCTAGTTTCAGAGATATTATAAGAAATATAATTTCAACCCTCAACTTTAAGGGGTGTTTTCGACCCTTTAAAGTAGATGTCCGATAAGAAAAATGATGTGTCAAATATTTTCTGAACTACGTCTCACATAAGTGTCATAAAAATCGGAGTGTGCCGATTGAAAAGGCTCCCTTGGTAGAATAAAGCTTCTACTGCCTAGATCTTCAAAATATGAATCCTATGGGGCTTTTAACTGTATAAACTAGTAAATGAAATACATCAATATGATTTGTTCGAAGCTTTACAACTAGGAATACTATGAAAAGTGTTTAAATTTTCTAGGCGTAAGCCGTGTCCATGGTTTCCCTACATTCGTTAGCGCCGCAACTGGCATCATCAGAATTTGAGGACTCACTGATACTGATCAACCAGAATTAGTGCCTCCTTTAGCATCAACATGGCAACTACTACTGCTAACTAGAAGTTAAAGATTAAGGAATCCAAGAGAGAATGAGAGAAGCGAAATCGAAGTTTCGTCTTTCGCTGGACTGAACTTAGACACCTAGTCGTGCAACCGTTCGTTTCAGACGCGGTTCAGAAACAATTTGCAATAACTCGGGTAATTAATTTCCCAGGGGGTGGATTTCGGCCGGCAACGGTGCACGTAGACCGGCGGGGCCGGCATATTTAATGTTTCCGGGTTCCGGGCATGTGTAGTTTTCAGCGTTTCGTTTAACGTTGTTCCGATACACAGGGATCGCTGCGGCGATAACCTCTTCCCGTGCCGTCACGTTCGCCGCAGCCGTTGACAAAATGGGGGCGGGGTGCGCGGCGGCTCGTTCATAAAACACGTGCCACGCCAGAAATTTCGGCGACGGGCACCTGTTACGTGTGTAACGGTGGCTGCGTCTCGCGTAACACCAGATGCCGCCCCGGCGTTTCGTTGCCAGATACCATTGATCTGTTGCTCCGGACACATACACGGGCTGAGAGGCAAACCCTTCTGGGAATTCGTACCCCTTCCGAGGATGTCTTACGTCCCTCGAGCATTCCTCGATAGAATTGTTTATTCCCGTCGAAAGTAACGACCAAGCCATTGTCTTTTGATCTTCTTCTTGGCTAGAATCGGTGAAGACGCTTGGTCATTAATGATTTACTGGGGAACGGAGGAAGATTCTGGGTTTATCGTGTAGGTATGTATTCTAGGAACCATGGTATTTGATAATAATGGAATAATATTCAATTTGAGCTAAAGAGAATTGAGAAACAAAGGATCCATGCGTTAGCAATTTAGATACCTAAAAGCTAGATTTTGCTTGGCACTTGCATAAATTGCTAAAGTTACCACTTGGACCAGGTTGTACCTAATGTAGGTCCACTTTGGACTTGAATTAGACCTAGTGAGACTTGGTTTGGACCTACTTTGAACTATGTAGGACATGTCTTGCCCCAGATTTTGGCTAGTTTAGTAGCAATCTTGAGTCTAGCTTAGATGTAGCTAAGACATCCTAGAATCCAGGCTTCCTAATTTGAGTCGAGCTTAAGTTCGACTTGGATCTTAGACGAGGTCCTAATTAAAACGGCGTTGGAATTTTGTCGATGACAAAGGCCAGCGGCAGGATATCCAGCGAAAAATCCTTAAACTCTTTCAGGACACGAAAAGGGGTATTCTACAGCGGTCGGTATCGTAGCAGAAGT